AAGAGCGTTCCAAGAACTGGTACAAAACTGATTTTTTTGCAGGGTTTTTATAAATGTGTGTTTTGAAATACAGGCTTGAAAATTTGAATCTGTGGTGTTACTTACAATCAAAACACGTAAAGGTTCAAATTCATATCTGAAAAAAATGGCACATGACTATCCTGCAGTGACAGTGTTGAAATAAGGCAGAAGTACTTCTGAAAATAATCTCATGGTATTCTTCACAGTCAGTCTACACTTGCATAGCTCAAGAGCAGCATTACCATGTAGGAAGGCAGAGATGTGTTTGCAATGGCTAAACCTTTGTCCTACAGCTGTGTCGAGGGAGTGACAGCACATGCCTTTCTTCCAAAGATTCCCTCTTTGTAATCAGACTGGCATTTTCTGTTCATCTGGTCTTTATATGGTCACTTCTGCCAAATCAAAAGACCTCTTTTTACCTATGGTGCACCTGAAGTATCTGAAGACAGCCGAGGTGAGGAAGTGTCCTTGGGATTTTATCACTGCTTCCCGACCTAGAGCCAAAGCACTGTTAAACTCAGTATCAAGCAACCTTGTATGTGTAAGAAAGTCTTGGGAAATGCTGAACTAGTATCAAACCTTCCTCAGCTTGGGTCCGTTTCTTATTTAATCATAACATTCATAGCTATCAGGACTCAGCATGTGGCCATGACTCTCCTGCTTCATTTCACAGCCCCGAGGATTAGACTTACAGATAGGGTTTAGCAGGCACGGTGTTGAAGGGTTTACAGTTGGACTCGATGATCTTGAAGGTCTTTCCAAACATAATGATTCTATGATTATTACCTGACCCAATGTGTTTGCATCAAGATCCCTGTGGAGAAAACTGCAGTGGACCTTGGGTCAGCTGGGACTTGGGTCGGGAGGACAGTAACAGTCAACGGAGGCTGATGCTAACATTTAAGACACTGAACAGGAGCATTCAATGAATGCAAGCCTCAAAAAGCTTAACTGAATCACTCGTTTTACCAGTGGCTTACATGAACTTTCTTTACACGAAGACTGACAGCAACCAATCACTTACTTACTATATCTCAGCAGTTGAGAAGTCAGCCCCCTTACCATTCGTTTCCTCTCCAGGCCCACACTGAGCTAAGAAGTACTGAGTTTTGGGTAATAAATGGTTAAGCAAAAGAATTACACATGTTGGGTACCTTTAAGTAAAGAATGATTATCAAGGCTTAGGTCAAACTTGACAGGGACCGCGATCATATCTTACCACTTCAGAATTAAAAAATAAGAAGGCTGGCTGCAGAGAAATCTGTCTGGGAAACAGAATAAATGGGGTAGGATAGTAATATACAATTTAATCCTCTCATGAATAAAGATGACTTAAATTCATTTGTGGTTTTGCCACTCATGAGTTATAAGGTTTTTAACTTGTTTGGATAAATGCATCGCCTTATTCCATCCCATCATCATCAAATACAAATTATTAAAATAAGACATGGACAAGCACAATCTTTTAACTGTACATGTATCTTGAACAAAATTCAATATTGCAGCCTAGAGAAGGAGAGTGACTGCTTTAAAAATACAGGAACAGAATGCATAAAAAGAGCACTTACTCGCCAATTACTTTTCACAGTTCTCTGCTCTTGAATTCGTTCTACATGCCTTTCAACTGCAGCTCGATTCACATACACTTTTGAGATCCAGCCAAGATCTGGTGGAGAAGGAAAAAAAAAAAAAGAGAGAGAAGTCTCAGCTATATTTGTGCTCTTTTAATATATGGTGTGGGACTTCAGAAGAAAGTTGGAGCTCAGTTCCAGTTTTCTGAAGACAGTGTTGTGCTCTTATGTCCTTGTAAGGGCTTGCATACTTCTCATCAGCCCAAAATATCATAATGGCACAAACTTCTGTCAGGGATGGTCTATAAACTGGGTGCTTCATGCGGCAGGTTTTGTTTGCCATTGCAACTGCATTACTTCCCTGCAGCTGAGAGATGCTATATTGGCACTCCTGGACTATAAAGTCCATTACAGATGCAGTAGCCATCACATGCCTAATAGCCTCCTGTCATTGCTCACTGATGGAGGAAAATAACATTTTTTTCAGTCCTTGGTCGTTCTGCTTACAACCAGCATCCAACAGCATTTTCTGTGCACATACAAATTTCTTCCTTCTACAGAAATTGTATCTCACACAGCCACCAAAACCTCTGCAGAGACCCTTGTGCAATAAAGCATCTGGATTATTATCTAGAGCTAATTTTACTCAATTTGCTAATTGGACTTGACTAGCTGCAAGTTTACAAAGGCATTTAATTCTTGGGCAAAATACCTGCTTGGAAACCATCCAGACACATGTCCTCCTTAGAGCACTTATTTTCCTGAGTGCTCCAGAGGACTCAGAGCAGCATGTTCAAGGCATGAACTCATCCGGATGCCCACTGTGGACAGCCTGGCCCTCACTTTGAGTGAGTTTCATTATCCACAAGCCATAATGAGAGGCAGAGAGAAACATTTCTGAGAAGTCTACTTTTGAAACTGTCCAAAAAGAGAAGCAGCTAGAATGGACGCCTCTGAAAAGCAGGTAATTGAGTATCAAAAGAGAACTGAAGGTGCAGCTCCCTGAATCTTGAAATTTCTGCTCAGTATGAGAAATCAAAGGTATAACTTCACATGAGAATGAACTTAAACTCAAGTCCTCCCACTCAGAGAACATAAACAATTAAAGAAAAAACTACATCATCTCTGATAGCCCAAACCATAACTAGTTCTTTTAAATATTAATTATAATTATATAACTAAGCCATGAAAACACTGTGAAGATATTAATCATCAGCAACCAATCACTACCATCAATACCAATGAATTGCCAATTAAGGACAGTATACAGACACAGATTCACATGATTAAAAGATATGTAATAATTCTGGGTGACATGATTTGTCATGAGTATCTCATCTCTGGGAGTCTTCTTCATTACAGTTTTGAACTTGCAGTGTAGTACTTAGAAGAAGTGAGTAGCCAAAAACTTAGTGATTCCCAATTTCTTAGGGAAATCTTGTCTCCCCCACAGCAACAAAAGTAAGCCAAATAAAGAAAAGGGCATTAGGAATTTTCCAGGTTTCCACTAGAACTCGGTATCGATCTCATCGTATAGTAAAAAAGAAAAGGAGGAGCTTGCCAAGTTGCAAAACAGCTGAGCAGCAAACCCATATTAATTCTCTTTACCTGGTAAGTCACGGGCTTATTCATTTTGTTTCAAATGCAAGAAGCTCATTTGACATGCAGAGAGCAGCTGAGAAAAGCTGTTGCTACAAAACCTATGGCAAGAACCTCCTTTGTGCTTTAATTTCACTAATAAATGGAAACCAAACACACACGGTGTAATTACAAGCTGCTGAAACCTCTGCAGTCACTTTAAGGTTGAGCTTCCTAAATGGTCAGCACAGAGCGCATGTCACTTCCCAGCTGCAGCTTACAAGCAATTGTTGACAAAGACTTTGGAGGAAGAGAATAAAGAAAAAAAAAAGGTTTTATTTTTATTTGCTTGTTTTTAAAGGAAACACAAACCTTGTGCTGTGATTCTCCTACTACACGCCAAGGACTCAGCTGGAACCATCTGATAACACAGTTATCATGTTCATTTTAGAGCTCTGCTGAGTGCACAGTGACCTTCCAGGCCTTTTGGAAAATGTGATAAAAGCAAAGAAGGCCCTTGAGATGAGGAACTCGGCTTCTAGCTCTCTAGTAAGGAACTCAAGGCAATTACTCTTCTCTAACCTGCTCTTTCTGTATTATGAAAGGTAACCAAGAAATCTGACAAAATAATTAATCTATAAGATCTATTGCCTCTTGTGCAAGAACTTGGGAGAATCTGAACAAAGCTTCTGGTTTGTTAGCAATGGAAAATGTACATCTTCTTGATTCTTAGGACATGAACTTGAATTCAGGTCAAAGGAAAAATAAATTTCCACCCATGAGTAGATTAATCCAACATTATCTATTATTTACCTATTGTGCTGGACTATTGGAACTGCCAATACAAGCCAACTCATCAGGGTTTAGTAGCTCATTTTTGGGCCTGAGACCTAAGTTTCGATGAAACACAATAGAATTTGCATCCCCGAGTAGCTTTTGAATGCAGGACACTGAATAGCTGTGCACAGAACTGTCAGAATTTTACTTTTTTTTTTTAAAAAAAAGGGACTTTATCCTTGCCAAAAAATTTAATGAGAGATACTATGTAGCTACAAATTATGAGAAAAATAAAAACGATGTAATAAAGAGAGTGCGTGGCAAGGAAGGACAAAGGTTCTGGTAATAAGCAGCGGCAGATGGAGACTTCTGTATAACACCAATCGTTTATGCAAGCCCACTTCTCCATTAATTAAAGCAGTGGGCAAGTGAAAACAAATATGTCTTAGCATAATTGTCTCTAAATAGACTTTCAAAGTTTGCCATGTGAGGTCTCAGCAGACCTTTAAATGTACGGGTCTTTATTCCAAAAAAATCAGTCGCAATTCTAGTTTTTTTTGCATTAAAACTCAGAACAAAACCATTATTTGAGATGGAGCTGACTGATTGCCTTTAGATTTTTCCCCTCCCCCATGCCCCCAGCTTTATCATTTAGTATCTGGCTAAGGAAAACTATATTTAATTAGGCTCATTAACCTTGCAGTGTGAACATAGCTTTTTTTTTTTTTTAAATAAGTCATCTGCTAGTCATCTGCACAGTCATGTGGCTTCAGGGATAAAAGTAATTAAAGCAGTTACACTATGTCTAATTAGCCAATATTCCATAATCACTCTTGAAGTTTACTTTTTTCCTCTGAAGACATTTGAAAATCTTTAAAAAATCTTACCAGGAAATTCTTCTGCCCTCCTTGAGGGACATGAATCCAAAACTATTAACCATTTCCTCAGAGAGCACAGAATAGAACTGCCTCACTGCTACAATTACATAAATATTTAAGGTACCTAATATGTTCACCAGGTTTTTCGGCTTTAAAAAAAAAATTCTCTTTGAAATAGAAGCTGTAATTATTTCCCTTGCTATAGACCTCTTGCTATAGACCTACTTTATTTTCAAATGTGTCCTTCTCCTATATCAAAAGTTAAGTCTCCAAGTCATCAGCATTCAGATCCTCCAAGGAGGATGAAGACACAAGGCCCAAACTAGCAATCAGCTCACGCTGGCTTGTAACATTAGAGAAACCACACAACATTGACCACAAATCATGTAAAATGCATCACACCCACTTGGAACTCAAGGTCAACCATACAGAATCACAGAATCATTATGGTTGGAAAAGACCTTCAAGATCATGAAGCCCAACCATCAAGCCATAGAGTCTACATGCCACACCACATACCTTTTTTTTACCTTAAAGAAGCCAAACTGCCTGAGGGGGATGCTGTGGTGAGAACCTCAACGAATATTGCAAAGTGGGCGAGTCTGGCCCCAGATCAAACTACATTTGAAAGCACAGCCTGTGATGGTGCCTCCTAATGCACTCTGACAATCACTGACAAGCTATTTTTTTTTAGGAAGTAGGTAGCTCCATGAGTTATAGAGCACAGAAGCTTGGTTTCCTGTAGATGTGTCCTCTTCCTGTTCCTCTTCTCCCCTTGCTCCAGAAAACTTTTTTTATTCCAATACTGTTCTCCACTCTCCATCATGGTCCTCATGACCACAGAGTAAGACAGGACACATTATTTGCATAAAGTTTCTTCCCCTGCTAAAAAAAAAGAAAAGGAATTAAAGAAAAAAAAATGCTGAACTGTGCCTGCCTTTCCCTCAATGTGGGGGCTAATTTGGTCACTCAAACCAAGTTTGCAGAAACTCGCTTATCTCTGATATGTCTGTCTATCTTTCAAATTGATGAAACTTAGCCCCAACAGGTTCAAAAGGTGTTAGAGAGGACACAATGAAGTAGCACAGCCAATGCACAGGCATTACTTCCTCAGGAGTGGCTAGCCCCAGCTATTAATATATTAGAACAGGATTAAGCTGTCTTCAGTAGGGATGCAACACTTCATTATCTAAATGCCACTTACCAACGGGCTAGCTCTCATATGGAAACGGCTTGGAAATATCAACTGTAATTAAAAATATCAATTGAAACATAATGAATATATTTCTGGCCCTTCAACTAGAGGGACTGAGCAACGTGGATGGATTTTTTTATTTATAGCATTCATGAACATACTTTGCAAAACAACAGTAACTAATTATTCATTGCTCAAGGAATATATATATATATCCTATGTATATATATAAAATCATACACTCATTGAACAATTTGGCTTGGAAGGGGCTACAGTACGTCACTAGTCCAACCTGCTTCTCAAGGCATGGTCAGACCAGGTTGCTCTGCAGGGCTCTATCCAACCGAGTCTTGATAATGTCCAAGGATGGAGGCTGTACAGCCTCTCTGGGCAGCCTGACTGTCCCCATGGAAAAGATGTTTTATCTAATAGCCAGGCTGAACATCTCAGTTTTGATTCAAGTCTGTTCTCTCTCTCTTCATCCTGCCATGGCTCCATTTTCTGGATAATCACCCGGTAGACAGGGACAGGCTGCTGTCAGGTCTCCTGAAACAACCTCTTCTTCAGGCTGACCTGGCCCAGTTCGTGCAGCCTTTTCCTGCTCACCATGTTCCTCCTCTCCTCAGGGCTACTGAGGATCTGTCTTTCAACCATGACTCCTGAAACCGTTGCCTCAAAATCCCATCTGAAGGGAAGGGAAAAGCCACATGGCAAATGTTTGCATCCCTGCAATTAAACCAGAGAGATATGCCACTAGCTTACACTAAAAAACAGATACTCACTTATGTTTTCTAATTTTTCTTTGTGAATTGTCATTAAAAAGTTGTATCTGAAGCTTTACTGAAAAGTGCTAAAACAGATGCAGCACCTGGTCTACTTTACTCAAACATCCTTGGGAGCAGAACAGGAAAGGAGACTGCTTCTAGCCCCTGTGGTCATGTTCCTGTACCTGAGCATATGAGAAAGATCCCCTGAATTTTACCTTGTGCAAATGACTAAATTTTAAATTGTTTCGTCCACTTACTTTACAGCATTTTGTCATGGCTAATCTATTAGAACTGCCAAATTCTTAGATTAGTTGGCGTCCGACTCATTCATACAGATCAGTGTCTTTCTATCTCCTTTATATGAACCAGTTCTTTAATCCACATAAACTCTTCATACTTCTACTGAGGAATGGTGATGAGAAAGAAAAGAAAGGATGAATAAAGGGATTTTTACAATAATCTATTTATTTTTAGTAGGAAAATAAATCACAGGTGATAGCATTATGTGCCATGATTTGAGGACAGCTGTCTTGGCATTTGTGAAAAAAAAAAAGGTACTAATTATGGGTATCAGAAATTGCAGCATAAATAACGACACCAAACAGCAAACAGAGAAAGAGTGGGTACAGAAAAAAAGAAAGGATTCAAATGAAATAATGCACGATCAAAATATTTTACCACCAGGTGTCCCTGTTTGAAAACTCTCCCTGTTTGAAAACTCCTGTTATTCTACCAATACCCCTGCAAAGTGCAGGACAAACCCTTTGAACTACTTTTAAGTGTATTAGCACAAGCCAGATGAACCTTCAAAGGGGGAAGCCACCAAAGTCACTTGGTTCAGCACTTCAGACATGGTCTCTGTTAAGTCTTGTGCACAGGTTAATGCCACTTTTTTCTATCCCCTTGACCAGTGCTGTGCAGCAAAATCCAGCCAAGTGTATTTCCAGTTGCCTCTTGCAATATCTACAGGCTTGGCAGCACGGCCTTCCGTACGTGTCCCCATGTACTATAGGAAAACCTGAAAGGAGCTGAACAACTATGGGAGTATCTAGAGTTTCCGGAGTGCCCAAACATACACAGGTGCTGTAAGATGAAATTCAGAGTAAGAGGCGGCTCACTGCATGCCTACTTACAGGTTGCACATGCAATGGGAACACACACGCAAATGCATATACCGGCCTTTTTCCTAGCAGACGCTGCAGGTTTGCCGCTTTGCTAGGAACATCTCTGTGTCAACGTGAAGACACGTGCAGACCACGATAGCTGGAAGAAACTCCCTTCCCTGCAAACAGCCCTAGGATAAGCACAGCAGAGCACCTTAACAGCTCACTTCTAAGTGTCACATGCCAGCCGTGTTAGAGAAGAGAAACCGAGACATCTTTTTAGTTGTCCACAGTCTTAACAGTCATGAACTAGCAAATCATAATCCAACTAAGAATAAAAGTTTTAAACCCCTTGGGAGAGAGGAAGAGGGATGGCGGCAGGGGGAAAGGTTTATTCAGTCCAAATCTGATATGCACGATGCAATGTGTGGTACTATTGGGGTGGCTACGGACGCTAGAGTATTGCAGCCGGTCTCATGAGCTTGCACGGATATTTTGCAAGGTTGATAACCCGTTCAAAGCTTCAGCCTCTGGAGTCAGGGTGTTATATACAAGAAAACATAGGAAAATCTCAACTGCTCTTTAACAAAAAGGACTGAAATAAAAATAAGCTTCCTATAAGCCTCCTAGTTGGGGAAAAAGAAAAAAAAAAGTCTAAAAAAATGTGTCACAAGGATATTTTAAAGGGCCTAAAGTCTAGTCGTAAGAAATCTGTTTGCAATTTGGCCTTTAAGCAGCACCTTCAGGACTCTGCAGGAACTTGAATAATATTTCTTGGAACACCCCCTATTTACCAAGCACCTTCAGGAACATGAAGAGAAACCAGGTCTAAATACGGCTTTGATTTCCTCGCCCGTCCCCGGTTGAACTTTCCCGCCGCAGGCAAGGCAGGGAGCAGGAAGGGAACCCGCACCCCCGAGAGAGCCCTTAAAGGCAGCGCCAGGCACCGTGCGCAAGGAGGAAACCCGGGCGGGCGGGCGGGCGCCCATGGAGCAGCGCCCGATCCCCGCGGGAACCGGCTCCAAGCGGGACCGGGACCGGGACCGGGAGCGGAGCGGGAGGCGGGCCCGGCCGCGCCGCTTACCCAGCGCCGTGCCCGGGTTTCCGGCCGCCATTACCCGCTCCGCTCCGCCCCTGGGACCCAGGGCCGCCCCGCGTGGGGCGGAGAAGCCGGGAAACGCGGGGCGGGCCGCTGCCCTCGGAGCACTAATGTTATTATTACTTAAGCGCTGAATAGCAGCGCCCCCCACGTGAGTTTCAGCACTGCGGGAGGGAAATAACTTACTCTTAACACTAACCCCAGCCTTAGAGAAGTAATAATAGTAAAGGAAGGGACAAGTGTAAGAAAGGCAGTATTTTCTTTAATGAAGAAAATATGATGTATAACCTTGAACGAGTAATAGTTTAGGCTGTTTAGAGGACAAAAGCAGAGCTTTGCCCTGATTCATAGCCCACCTCTGGCATTTTCCACATACAACTAAGTGTTTCAGGCAAGAGGCTTAGTTTAGGAATTGTCCAGGGTTTTGAGTTTAGAGAGTCACTGTTACATTCAAACGCTAAAAAATAAAAAGGCAAGGCTTATAAATCAAGGAACTTGCCCATTGCTGTCTCAACAGTAAAACATTCCTACCCCTTTTCCTCTTTTTTTAGTACATACACACAGACACACACACAAAAAACAGATGCCAGAAAGGACTACGCAGTAATGTGGTTGCTTTTCTAGTCCGTAAGGCCCATGCTAAAGAGTAAATATAGGAGTTTTGAGAGGCATTTTATTTAGACAACTGAAAACAGTTAAATGTTTGTAAGCAGTGTACAATGAAACAAAACCCGAATCAAATACTTTAGTACATAATCCCGTCTTTACAACTAAAGCCAAATGTTCCAACTTTCAAGAATGGAAAAAAAATGGGTAAAAGCCGTTATATCTCATCTCCATAGTAAAGAAAACACACTATAATGAGTCTAATTGAAATTGGAGAGAGGGGATCTCGGCTTACACGTTTCATTCAAAAGACAGTAGGCAGCTATGCTAAGAAGATAGCAAAACTCTACTACTTGTCTTTTTTTTTTTCTCTTTTTTTTTTGGATACTCAGTTCTCTTATAGACAAGACCTAGCCATTTCCAACGCATTCTCATCAATTACTGCCCATCTTTGCCTTATGTAGAGAGTGCACTCCGGAAGGCTGCTGCTTATCACTGTTCACTTGATTTAGTCTCACATGTCTGTATGTGGCATAACAGTTGTGATGCTCAGGCTTTAACTTCAGGAGTTGAGCTGTACATCGAATCTGAGTTTTCAGAGGCAATATCTTCTGCAATTAAAGAAAAGAGGCATTAGTTCACCTTGGATATATAACCAAAAGATATGTTGAAGGGATTATTTTATGGTAAAGATCAACTAGGACTGCTTTTCATTTAACTCAGATTGATTAAATCGGTTTGGACAGGTTACAAGATTGCATAGCTCATCCCTACACACTTCCCACAGCTTCGTTCAAAACGATGTAGTCAAAGATGCTGTGAGAAGAGCAAAAATGGCAGAAGCTGCTTTTGGGGGAGTGGCAAGGGGGAGAAAAAAAAGAAAATCACTCTTCCATGCCAAGGAATGCTACCGTCTTTATTGATCTTTTTAGCAGCAGATTTGAAGTTGGCAGTTCAAAGCTTTACCTATTTCCTCCTCTGCAGTCGCTGGAAGGGTGGTCTTTGCTTTTGCTGCTTCTGCATTCTCCTCTTCAGCTGGAAGAAAAAACAGTATCTTCAGTCAACTCCCCTACACCATACATGCGCCTAAGCCAGAAAGTAAGACTTTCACTTATTCATTTAGGGTTGAAGAGAAATTATGCAAGATATTTCATTAACAGATATCTGCTTGCAGTTTTCTAGGCATTTTTATTATTATTATTTTTCCACTAAGCGTAGAGAACCAAAGTGCATATAAGACAGACAAGTTTATCTGCACTTTTTTTCTTAGAGACTCTTATATCCTTAAGTATTTACAAAAACAGCATTTCCTATTTCTTGCTCCGTAACATCAACATGTAAGAGACTGTTTGACTATTTAACACGCCAATATTTAATAAACCTGTAGGTTTGAAATTAGCTGACAGCCACAATAGGAAATCTTTATATCAATCACGCAAGAGGGTTTTAAGAGAGTATAAACACTGCAGGAAATTTGTATGTTCTTCACTTATGCTCTTACTGCCAGACATCATCTTCACACACTACAGTCTGTTGAACAACTTTCAAAAGTGCACACGAAGCAGCCAAGTTGCACCAGGAAAATAAAAACCCACTTACCAGGAATTACACATTTCCAAAGACCATAGGTTTTCCCTACTGTTGTCTGCCACAGCCTTAGTGTGCCATCTTCAGAACCACTGGCATATAACTCTCCATCAGGGCTAAATCTCACACAGTGAATGGGACCAAAGTGTCCTTTGTAAGATTCTGGAAGAGAACATATTGGTACGATTTTCCAATTGGGTCCTACAAGTTTGCGTTCAAAAGCAAGCCAGTAGCACAGATGACAAATGTTCTGGTTCTTCAACCACTCATTCTGCACAAAATTCCGAATAAGGATAGGATCAACTAACAGAATCATGTTCCACCCCTACTCCCTCCCACCCTAAACAAAAATTTATATGGACTCGTAAGACATATCTGATCAATGCTATAAAACAACCTTTAAGTTATCATATAGCTTGCCGCTACATCACTACTGAATGATTCTACTTATTTTGTGTTTTGATGGTTGTTTAAAGCAGATTTTAATTGGTCCCAAAGAATGTCAGGTGTACTAAGATAATAAAAACTTAGGCTATTGGTTTAGAGCTTGTATTTGCTTACACAGTATTCTCAGATGTTATTTGATCTAAGTGTAACAATTTAATCTACTAGAATCTCATTAAACTAATTTCAGAACTCACTCAACTACAGAGGACAAACATACCTAATTCTTCTCCTGTATTATAGTCATATTTATAGAGTTTAAAATCTTCACCACCTGCAACCAGACATTCCTTCTGAGGGTGAAGTGATGCAGAATTGATTGTAGCAGGAGCTTCAAATGATTTAATTTGCTCTAGACTGAGGGAGAAAAAAAAAAAAAAAAAGGTTTGTTGGTACAAGTTTTTATTTTAAAAAAATCTCAAAAGCTAAGAAGCTTCGATTGTACAAATCACAGCTGCTTTTAAGAGAAACAAAACACGGTTTTCTGAAACAAGCATTACTACCTACAAGAGGAGCGTATGAAGTTAGAAACAAAGAATCAGAATTTATAAAAATAGAAATGCTCATTTAGAAATACTTTCTCAAATCTGCTAAATAGTGTAACTTGTTTCCTTAAGACATCAAAGAGATGTATTAATAACTAGTTCTCTGGAAAGTGCTGAATTAAATCCTGAATGAAACACTTATTTAATCACAACGACAATTAGTATGAGCTATAACACTTACAGTCTAGCATTTTACAGACAGTTGGAGCTGGTTATTTTTTGGAAAAGGTAAATGTGTTGCACTTTGCATCTGACTGGATAGCAAAGCTATCCTCCAAATCTAATTCTGGTGACTCAATTTGTTTTTGCACAGCCAACTTTACCAACACCACCAAAACTATTAGTTAATCTTAAAAAAAAAAAACAGCTTTAGACTCACGTTTCTGCACTATGAAAAGCAATGGTCTTCCCATAGGTTATCACAAGGATCTGTCCTTCTGGAACATACTCCATACTGCTCACTGACATTGCAACGTTTAATGCCTTTACTTCAGTCATGGTATTCCGGTCCCAGAGGCTGCAAAGAAGAGGCTGTTAGATTACTTCAGCACATCAGGCAGTTCTCATCCCCATTCACAGGGAAGCTTTGTTTGTTTTTTCAAAGCCACCCAGTAAAGAACTTCAGTTGATTCCATATTCAGTGGCATACCTATCTTAAAAGTTTGCCCAGCAGAAAATTAAAACATGCTTATATTCAAATATCCCTACTTTTGAAACTTAATGCAACAACTTATTAGCATGGCAGAGAATAAGCATTGCACTTGTCACCAGTGCCCTGTTTCCAGATACCCCAGCTTCTGGCCAGGCATTGCCTTGGGCATATTTGAAGGCCTGACTGTGAAAGACAAAGGACTAGGACCTCTGAACAAAACATAAAAGACTTCTTTAAGTTCACCTCCTTCAGGTGTACAGAAGGTAATCATTCATTGTAACTTTCCAGTTTACAAAAAGACCTGCTTTTCTGAGAATACCCTGCACTAAATGCTAAGGCATTTAGTATACAAACTATTAGACATCAACAAATGATTGTTAGAAGTTATTTTGTTGCAACAATTTTAATCTACCCCCGTTCTGTAGCAAGATTAAAATGTTTGTCAGCTTAAGAGAGCAACAATAAACTAAAATCAAATAACTGACAGTATCTCTTTGGCTAAAAAGAAACAGTGAAATTTTGATGTGTTATTAACCTCCAACCCCCCCAAAAAAACCATTAACGCAACAGCAAGCTTTTTCAGAAAACGAAAAGTAACTTTTTCTTACCGGACAGTTTTATCATCAGCTGAAAGAATCTGTTTGTCATCACTGCTCCATAAAGCCTTTTTAATGCCAGAAGTATGCCCACTGATAACCTGAGGTTCTTAAAATTAGAGCAAGTATTTTAGTACACACAGCAGTTCAAGAGCTCTGTTATTCTACATGGATTTCTGCTTGCCAGGAAAGTAAGATTACTTCCAGCACTTAAAATTCTATTCATGGATCTTAGTCCAGGAACAGGATAAATGAAGATTATATTCAGAGTCAAATGCAGAAAAAGCTTCAATAGTTTAAGTCTTATATGGCATATATATTTATATAGATACATAATATTTTTCAGTCATTCAACATCAATATTAGAATTAAAATCACTTAAATACACAGAATTTATCTCTACTATCAGGTAGCCTAATTTTAACTGGATATATTCCTAATAGATTTGTGTAGAACTTAAACATGCTGTCCTTGAAGATCCTGGAGATCTTGTGCCACAAATTGTTTTACCTTTTAAAAGTTTTAACTCGTTCGTGAAAAGATGAGCTTAAAATGTTGCAGACTTCAAATTATATTACTAAAGTAA